GACAGCTGCGACGTGACCTGGTTTCGACGGACGCGCGCAACGAAGCGCACCCGGGAGACTTGAACCCTAAATCATCTAGTAACATTGCAGTGATTTGTATTAAAACATGAAAAAATTGCGTAAGTTTTTAAAATCAGTCTCAACGTTCAGCTGGAGGGAGGAGGGGAACCGCTCTGCTTCAGCAACTTCATTGAGAGACAGGAGTAATCGACTTCGCGCGGGCCATATGGTGCTTAGGAATGAGACTGAGACCGTTTTTCCTAACTGAGAAAACCGTTTTTTCAAACTAAGCCTCAAGAGGGAAGAAGCAAATGGTGGGTGAGTCAATTGATTGTTCAATTCTTCACCCATCCCGGCCTTTTGCAAGAGGGAACCATCTCACCCACCCCGATGCACCTCCCCTCTTCAGGCTTAAGTAAAAAGTACGTCCCTTTGGCTGAAAACCGTTTTCAAGCATAAACAGATTCAGCTATACGTCCTTCTCAGCGCTCTTGCGCTCAAGGTTAGAGAGGAGGGGTGGCTCCCAAGTACATTACAATGGTGTTTACGATTTCAGGTCTAACCAGTCACAGATCCACCGCGGCGGGCGGCGCTTGCCCCTTTGTTAACAATTGAATCTTGGATACCGCCGGACGAGTAGTCCCCGGTTGCTCGCTCGCTCGCGCGCTCGTGGGCCAAATCGCGGACTATGAAAGTAACCAATGCATTACCCGGCTAAAAATTTAGATCCGAATCAAAGTCAATGCCGAAGAAAACTATGCATATGCATAATCATAGAAAACTATGTCCCTTTTGAAAAGAGGAATATTAATGACTAGATAAAACATGGATACTTAGTAGGCCACCAAAGGCATGAATTAGCATCCTACTGTAATCGATGAAGCATATATTAATCAGTGCAGCACCCGATTTGATGGGCACCTAACCTTCAACCGGTATGACACATAAGAAGTCCTGGTACGACTGACTTAGGCAACTTCGGGAGTCAAAGACGAGTGCCTCTGTGGACCCGACCAAAATCGAGAGTACCATTCCTACTCCCGGCTCTGGCCGAAAAAGCGACAAGTTCTTCGAGAGAGCTGCGTAGGCAAATAAAAGCAGCGTTCTGACTGACTGTAGGCGCACTAAGGGTTGAAAGATCGAACTTGTAGAGAATGAGAGGGATGTCGTGAGGGTGACGGTGAAATTAGGTTCAAAGGCACAGTTCACGATAATTTTGAGGTACCCCTTTTTAGCCGAATAGCGGAAGTTAGGTTGGGAATAGTTCATTGATAGTGATGAAAGCAAGGAAATTCGCCGATTTTGAGAAAAATAAGGCTCCTCAGAAGTAGGGAAAATAGAGGTTGGACGAGATTATAATGACGTAAATGAAATGGGAGGCGCACTAGAAGAGATTTCGGTTGTTGCAGTTGCGCAAAGAGCAGAGTACATCAAACCAGGACTGTACAGAATTGCCTTTCACTGTCCGTAGGTCATGGCAAGTTGTTTGAACTTCCTACATGGGTTCCCTTGAGATCTGTGCAGCCTCTACAATGCCAGTGAAATTCGTCCGAGGATACACGCGAGCCAATCTTTGAGCCTTTATAACGCTCTAAGTAAGCCATGATGGCGCCAGTCATGTTATAAGAGGGGACCTCAAATTTACCCTATAGGGGAATCCCAGAAACCATTTTTATCGTGAACAGTGCCTTTAACAAAGCGTTTTTGCAGGGAACAAAGTATACGGGATCAAAAGCTTTGATGACGATTACATAAACACAGCCTCAACATCCGTCGCCCTTCAGGGCCTGGTAGAGGGCAGTATAAAGCATAAGGGCTATACGCCATCCTTTCACCCTAAATCTCACGGTAAGCGGCAACGATGTCGCGACGGTTACCGTAATCTCCACTGAGAGTTCAAACCTTCCCCAACCGGATGCGGCGAGCGCGGAACGCAGTTCGGGTGTAGGAACCCACACCTCTAAAAGCGCATATGACAACTGTAGGAATAGCATGCCTAAGCGGTAACAGTGTGCCTCCAGAACGTAGCATTGATAACTGCGTGGAGAGTCAGTGACGATCGATGGGAAGATTTTTATGGGTTTGCGATTGTACTTCTTCTGCCGCACTTCCTTGCCAGTTGTCTCGAACCGCTCAGAAGTCTTCGGTGAAATGCTTCTTTAGCCATACTTTTCAGTCTTAACTCCTTTCCTACTGGAACTAATCACGCGAAATTTCGATATGTGTAGCATGGGTGCATTGCGAATATTTACCACTATCAACCTGCAATCTGATCATGTTCCAGGTATTCCGAAGGGCTTGAACTCAAAATCAACTGGAAATAAAAAAGATGTTTTTTTTTCGGAATTTCTTTCCTCTTTGCGATGCTGAAGTGTAGAGCGCCGAACACAAAGGAGAACAAAAGCGCACATAAGGTGCGAATAACTGCAGACGTCATTAACTTTGCTTTTAGCGAAATCTGCTGCAGCATAAACATAGTCTGTAAAGCAGCAATATCCACATCTGTTTATGTGGATATTGCTGCTTTACAATCGAATAGTGTCGGATAGTGTGAAATATGCCTTAGTTAAACATATAAAAATTTCGCTGCGATTTGCTCCACTAAGAAAAAACTTATGAACGAAAAAGCGTGAGAGCGTTTGACCGAACACTTTTGAGCGCTAGTGTATGTGTCTATACCTTGCCCGATTTGCGTGAGCTGCAACATGAGCAACCATGCACATCTAGAAATAATGATTACAATTTTAGATAGATGAAGCAGACACCGATAATGGCATACTGGCACGTTGTGAACACGGCGAAGGTAGGACTGATGCCTAGTACCCTCCGAGCATTACTTTAGACCCGGTCTGTGTCGAATACCCGCTACAAAGTCAAAATCGAAGGCTTTGCCATGTGCTTAAATTAGTCTAAAATTAGGCTTAATTTCACTGACTTGTTACCCTCACAAACATCCCTCTCATTTTCAACAGACTTTAAAATAGGATTCCTGAA